CCACGGGAAATACTAAAAGAAGCGGTAGAATGTAGGCGGTCATAGTCACATATTAGTCCCAGATTTGGACCATGAAGCCTCAGCAAAGCAAAATCCTTCGTGATATAAAATGGAAGGGTGGTTTGTGTCTGGCGGGGCAAATTTACTTTGATCGATCGGAAATATACCAATTCCTCTCTATCAATCTTGCAAATTTGGACACCTCAATGTTTGTTGTTGGAAAGTCGATGAAGGTATCTGTGCTCCTTGCTGAATTTAATCCGGATCCACGGAATGCTGAAGAAGAAAGTGGTGACGAATCTAGTCATGCATAGTTGCGCGCGCGCACAAGGCATGATCTTTGTGGGGAACATTTTCTGTATGTTGGACTTAACATGTTTCCCACCGCAACAAAGCACGGAAAACCCATTTCTCTTCCCTCGATCTCAAATCTGTGAGTTTCTCCCTGTGGAAGTCGAGACACCTAGCTGGATGTGGATAAAGCATGCTTCTTCGCTTTCGTTTCCTCTTTCTCATCAACAGATAACATGTGGGGGGTAGTTGTCAAAAATCCATCCGGCCTTAGCTCAGTTGGTAGTAGCGGCAGACTGTAGCGGCGCCTTCGCTGGCAGTTGCGGGCGCCACAGCTATCTGTAGGTCCCCGGTTCAACTCCGGGAGGCCGGAGAGAATGATATGCATCAGAAAAAGCCACGCACGTGCGAAAAGCATTTTCTCCCGCATGGCATTTTCTGCGCACAGGACTTTGACACGTTTCCCCCTTAAAAACACAACCCTGTTTCAAGTCTCTCCCACACACAACATTCGACATAATCTTTCATTCTCCTTTTCCCTTGCTTCTCTTTTCTCCTTCGCTGTCCAACGGTCAACCGGCCTTAGCTCAGTTGGTAGTAGCGGCAGACTGTAGCGGCGCCTTCGCTGGCATTGCGGGCGTCACAGCTATCTGTAGGTCCCCGGTTCAAATCCGGGAGGCCGGACTCAACGGAATTCGCAAATCACTGCCAATTCGTATTCAGATCACTGGTTATGATCGCCCAACACGGAAGTTGCATTTCCGTCGAAATCACCAGTACAGCTTTTCCCAGTTTGCCACGTTTTCCACC